ATATATATATTTCCTTTGGGTCTGACCCCCTGGAGAATCCTGACAAGTCCTGAAACTCAAGAGTACGACCAATGTCCAAGGCTAGAGGTGTGTCATTTGGCTCACTACAATGGAGCGATTTCTGCCTCTCTTCACTGCATGTAATGGTCCATTGATACCAACCCACTTTTTCGCATCTCTGTGACTTTGCAATGAACTTCTTCCCACCTTGTGGGTCACTGACAGCCTATTTATTCCTCAAAATTGTAATCAGGAATCATTTCCTCCATAGGCTTTCCTTACCACTTCTCTCAAATTCATCTCTTCTTTTGCATAACCTGAATGAGATGAATCATCAATTAATGAATTTCCTGAGCACCAATTCCTTGTGAAGAAAAAGAAACACAGCAATCCAGACAAATGAATGTTCTGAGAACTGTACATAGTGATGCAAAATGGTCGCACCTTCTCAACCAGGGAGGGACAGCAGTGATGCATAAATATGAGAAGTCTGCATGTTTCAGACCACAACATTTCATTTTTATGCCTAAATGTTATTAGAGCAAGTCCCATTATTTGGTTTCCAGAAGCTAGCACATTTTAAAGGCCCTCAGATACTCTGGGCATCAGATCTGAAGTCTTCATCACCCCTAAATGTCCCTTCTGCTGCCAAAGACGCTGTCAACTCAGCACCCGACTCAACACAGCTCCCTTCTGTTCCTTTCACACTGACCCCTAACCAGGCCTGGAGGGAGCTCTGTTGTGCATCTGAAACCTAATAATGGGGCTGGTCCAGGTTCTTCTCTAGTGTCCCACATCACAGATGACACCATGCTGTCATTAGTAATAAGATTCAGCCCACACATCTGGAAGGAGAGAAACACGTAGATCAGAATTTAAAACTGGGGATAAAAGTCCTCTTGGAGCCCACTTACCCAAATGTGGCTTCAGAGGCTCCTACCCAACCAGCCTGCCTAGTCTTAGCACCTGCCCGGTCTGCCATGGACACGACTGAAATCACTCACCTGAGAGAAGGGCCCAGAGGAATTCCAAGCCAACGTGGCTCCCAGGCCTCCCCCCACCTCATATTCATAATGTGATGAAATAAATGTGAGAGCCAAGAGATGCCAGTTCACCTTGGGAGAAGAATCCTTTCACTTGCTTTATCTGTGGGGTGTGGCTTGACCCAATGATCCCATGTGATAACTGCA